TCCTGGCACTGCGACTGATCTCCTATTTTCGTGTGTTTCTCTGCCATCTGTACTTTTTTTCCCTCACTATTGCGACTTTGTATTTTCTCCTTACACCGTCCGGGCAAACCAGGGGCTTGATACTGGTCTTCCCCGTTGTTACAGTTGCCCTTGGGAAAGAACCTTCCTCACTGCCTCCTGCTTTTTGTTGCTAACAAATTCGCATCATTTTCATTTACTGCTTTCCTGCCATTCTCTGTCCCACTGGACCTCCCGCAGTAAGATCTACACCCTAAGTATTCCCCGTCTTTTATAGTCAGCAGGCTTTTCCCATTCTACTCCTTATATTCTCTCCACTAGCAGCCTACTATGTAATCAAAGCCAGAACCACGTGGGTCGCTACTCCTAGGGACTCTCATACTTGATGTCCTCAATGTCCTGAGCCGCCCAGTGAACACTAATGTCCAATCTTGCTGGTTCATTCCTCCCCTCTCACGTTAACTCTGGAGTGTCCTTAACATGATGGTGCATGAGGTTTTTCCAGCACCACTCCAACATCCCTGGCTCTCCATGTTTCGGGACCCCCCATGTGGCTCCAGGTTCCCATTCAATTCTCCCTGGTTTGAAATCCCCCCCATAACCAGCAACTTTGTCTCTGCTGGAGTGAGCTCAATGCTATGCCACCCCCCCCCCCCCCCCCCCCCCCCCCCCCCCCCCCCCTCAGCAATTTAGACCACCATTCAGCGTTGCTCTCATTCAAATTCCTCTCTTGGCCTCCCCTGCAGTTCTGTGGTGGATTATCCATCACTGCAATGACCACTTTGTGTTCCCAGACTGAATTTACCAGCTATGTATTCCTTTCTCCTGTCTCATCTATTCCTAATGTCATTTTCTCGAATTTCCCATCTGTTTATTTACGAGCAGAGCAACCGCCACCTCCCCCCCCCACCCTTTCTATCTTCTTCCTCATTATCTGTGGTATCCTGGTGGGAAGAGTGCACTGTTATTGTCTCCATGATTTGTTTCTGTAACTTCTACGGAGTAGATATGTCTGGGGAACTTCTCATGATTCTTTCCTTGCCATTTCCTCATGTTTATTCGTTAATTTCCATCTGCCATTTGTGACCAAAAACCTTCAACATCTGTTCTAATACTGTAACTGTGGGCGGGGGGGTGGAAACAGAGGGATCGGTGTAAGAACATGGGTTTGGTATAGGAATGTTCAGTTGCCTTGGGTGCGTGGCTGAGTCCTTCTGCAGGTGTTTTCTGGGGAGGTGCGCTTGTCCCTTCCATTTGATCCTTGTATTCTGCTCTCCGTTTTTCATTTCCTCCCCATTTCCTCCTTTCGTTTTTGAACTCTCTCTTTCATTGTCAGTCCATTCGTCTTTTTCTGTCCTCGGTCTCGAGTACACACTCCCGGAACTCCCTGCATGCCTTCACCGTTGCTTTCTCCTGCAAGGTAAGGTTCGGGTTGGATTCTGCCTTGAATTACTTTAGAGGCCGATTCCATTCTTTGTGGAACCACCCAATTCTCCGAAAAATTTGCCACCCAGGGTCATGTCCCCCACGCCTACACCTTCATGAATTCCACAAACGCTTTTTTCTCCACCTGTCATTCATCATCATAAAGTTTCCCCTTTAGCTTCGTCTAGCTCCAAATACAAACACGATCTCTCCCTTTCCACCTCCCACTGTGACACCATTGCATCCTCTGATGTGTTATAGTTCCTTCCCGTGGAGTGTTCCTTCCTTTCAGTCCCTTCCTTCTTAAGGCCCCTAATGCTTCTTGTGTTATCCTTCCTGCTCACCGTGCTCCTGGGCCCCACAGGTATCTGGTAATCCTTTGCACATGTCCTAGTTCATCAATGTCCTGTCCAACCTCTCTTTCTGTCCTAGAGTGTTCTCCCTGTGCTTGTTTTGGGCCCATGTGGGTTAGACAGTAGCGCTGCATACAGTTTAGTTTCCCTCTTCCTTCGGACCTGTTGTCTGTGTTCGATGAGCCATTGCCGATCTCTTCTTAATACTTTGTCTCTGTGCTGTTCAGATGACTCAGCTCCCTCTTCTAATCTCTCTATCTTGATTTCTTCAGCTGACGTCCTGTGCATCCCACCTACTGCATTCTGCTGCTAACCTCTCTTCCATCTTCCTTATCCAGCTCAACAATTCTCCTTCCCCAGTCTTTCCTCTCCCCTTTTTTGGAGCTCCTAACTTCCCATTCCTCCTCCAGATACGTCCTTGAGCCCTCTTGTCCTCATCCTGGTTAGGGGGAGGGGATTAGATGGTTATGAGTATTGGGAATGGATGGTTGTGGGGAGGGGAGGAATGGTTATTGGGAGGGGCAAGATAGTTGGGGGAGGGAGTTAGATTGTTTGGGGGAGAGAGGGTATGATGGTTATGGGAAGGGGGAGGATGGTTAATGGAGGGAGGGAGGTTGTTGGGCGTGGGATAGACGGTTTGGATGTGTTAGGTGAGTTTGGGAGGGGTAAGGTGGCTAAGGTGAGAGGTTATGGAAGGATATATTACGTGTTTGTGTCAAGTGTTTGTGTCAATGGCGGAGGGTGTGTGTGGTGTGTGTGTGTTTGTGTGTGTGTGTGTGAGTG